TGTTAACATCGTTTCCATAAATAATTGCCATCATTTCAGAATTCATTGCTCTCGCCAAACAGGAGTGTGAAAGTTTATCGCAGAAAATCTGAGTCCTATAAATGCATATATCTGATTCTTCTACTGACTTACTTTGTAATTGTAAGTTTGAAGGGGCATCTTCAAGACTGTAGCCCGAAGTGAAATAATAGTTTCATCCTATAAATGCCTTTATTTAACTTCATGCTTTTTGTGCATTTGAGTTTGTGTATTTCAGGGTGCGATATGCTCAATACCGCTGATTATGCAGCGTGCTTCAGCCAAGTTGCACTCAAATTTCCTAGCCATACATACGGTTGGGGTCCTTCTAGGAACTGTAACAGGTAAATTTTTTGTGGTATCCTGGTCTGATGACACCAGTACTCATGGTTATCTTGTTGTGTTGGTGGAAGCCTAAGAGTTCGTTCATAGTTTGCGTCAGCGCTCTGAGCATTTCATGTGAGCGACTGAAAAGTATAGGTTCTTATTCCGCTTTTGAGCGTAATATTTGAACGGCTAGGATGGTATAGGTATCGATTGGCGCGAAAGCACAGACGGACACTAACAAGGGAATGGTTTCAACTTCCCATGGAACTTTGAATGGAGACCTAGGTACATCGATAGAGTCTCGAATGCTGATTACGAATATGCAGATTAAAAGTGCTACGGGGACCTCCCAGACGAGTTCTGGGCGGTCAAAGTTTGCGAAAACTCAGTTTTGGCTCGTAAGCGCTGCTGATCGATCGCTAGGCAGTGCCACCGTGGTCAAGTGGTCTCGCTTCAAAGGCGAATGCTTGTGGGTTTGCATCCCGTTGGCGCGAAAGTTTTTGCTTCGTCTCCTATAAGAGCTTTTACTCTAATTTTCGAAATTCTTCCGAGTTTACGGCCCAGCAGAGCAAGTAGATCAAGTATATGACGTACTCGATCAAGTATGGATTTGGTCACTATCTGCCCTCTCTGAACTCATTACCGACAATTCGAAGTTTTGGCCAGAATCACAATTTGGCCAAAAACTCGTTTCTGGGGTATTTTGACCCCTGAGCACGAATATCACATCCGTTTGACGCGAAAACGATCGGTTCCCTCGTTCAGTTGATGACCACTACAACGTGAAGTGACCAAATCCATACTTGATCGAGTACGTCATATATTTGATCTACTTGATCTACTTGCTCTGCTGGGTCGTAAACTCGGAAGAATTTCGAAAATTAGAGTAAAAGCTCTTATAGGAGACGAAGCAAAAACTTTCGCGCCAACGGGATGCAAACCCACAAGCATTTGCCTTTGAAGCGAGACCGTTACCACTAGGCCACGGTGGCACTGCCTAGCATCGATCAGCAGCGCTTACGAGCCAAAACTGAGTTTTCGCAAACTTTGACCGCCCAGAACTCGTCTGGGAGGTCCCCGTAGCACTTTTAATCTGCATATTCGTAATCAGCATTCGAGACTCTATCGATGTACCTAGGTCTCCATTCAAAGTTCCATGGGAAGTTCAAACCATTCCCTTGTAAGAACGGTGGTGGACGCTAATCACGCTAGATCGATACCTATACTCTCCTAGTCAGTGGAACGCTGGCGGGTACTCTAAACGGTGATCGATACCTCTATTTCGTTAGTCACGGAAACGTTTGAAACGCTGACAGGCTCTAAAAAACTTGCTGCAAAGTGAACGCACTCTAAAGGCCGCGTACATACTTCACGACTTCGGGGAGCGGAGAGGGAGAACTCAGTGATAGGAAAGAATGCGCGTCAAGGGATACGACGGGAGTCTGTCGGCTCGGCTCACAAACGAATTGGGTGGATCGTAAACAATACCTACCAAACCTGGTTCCGCTACTTTCCGGATTGAGACATTGTTGCACGTTCGATTTTCTTTTTCTACTTGTCCATCCTAGCAAAGAGTGAACGCGGTCCAGCTGGAGTGGTCCGCGGTGCGGGTTCGACCAAGGGTGCGTTCGTACTTTGTCTCAGTGCTTCCGAACGACTGGGAGAGTATAAGTATTGATGTAGCGTTTTGAGTGTACGCTAGCGTAAACCAGCGTACGGCAGCATTTTGAGCGTTTCGCGTAGCGTAATTTTTCGCGAGCACACGCTGAAAACGCTATCGTACGCTTGAAACGCTGGTTCAGTGTCTATTCTTTTCTAGTCACTCAGAGCGCTGACGCAAAGTATGAACACACTCCGAGGATCCCGATTTGACAGTGTGGATACTTTTCATTGCGCGCCGAGGCTGTGATGGCCCTACTCATTCTCAGTTGCGCGCCATAGCCCCACCAGTTCAGAGGAACATTTTCAGACACTCTTCATTTACAATTATACACATACCACACACTTATTCGCTCCAACTTAATTTGAAAAAAAAGATGAGAGTGACAAAAAAATCAGCAGATCTTCTATCTTCCGCGGAAGTTGAAGTGGCGGTTTTCAGGAAGGATTTTTAGTCAACGAGTGAGCATTGCTTTCGTCTCATTTTTCTGCACTATATTGCTTTGTGGTTTCTCATGGAGCGTTTCCGACTTTCAAGAAGTGATTGATGCGAGATTTTCAATTTTCATGTTAGGCTTTGCCTCGGGAAATATCTTGTACGGTTCGTGAGTTGCTCTTATTCTTTTTATTAGTATTCCGCGTTTGTATTCCATTTGATTCGAATTATCTTCAGGCTGCGTTTTAGGGTGTTTTGCTTGAAAGAAATTTTGTGAAAAGTTTTGAGAAATTACAACCAGCTCATTCTACATTTATCAACAACGATAAGAGATCGGAATTCGTAATTATAATAAACATTGCCCATTCCATTCTGATAACTTTTTAATGAGGCTTTTAAGAGGGATTGCATTGCGTGGGAGCTCGAAAGAAAAGTACCGTACTGACTACTGAAGTGTGTACTAGTACTGACGTAGTACTGAAGATAATTTTTAGGGGCATTTAATCCAGCGGTGACGGTGCCTCGGGTGACATCATAAACTTTTGTGCATGGTCCTGTTACGAAACCCTGTAACGCAGAAGGGTAGAGCAGCAGCGGCTGCCAAAGCATGAAACGTGCAAGAAACATATGGCGAGCCAGGAAACGGGCTTTTTCAAGGGGAGGGGACTCCGGGGTGGGAGCTACTTATAATCGGTGAAAAGCTGAAATGTGCAAAACTGATAGAGCAGCCAAAACGGTGAAGATGAAGTGAGTCGATTGATCTACAAGCATTTCTCTTTCGCATAACACTTAGATATATGACTTTCTGTTGGGGCATTCGCTTGCTACACTTCTTCAAACTAAAAGTGTGAAATTTTCTCAAAACTTTCCGGACAACCTAATGCTTGCAGCTTTTTGAACGCACGCCAACGTTTTGAGCGTGTTCGCGGGTAGCTTTGCGCTTTTCGGGAGCACTCGCTCAAAACGCTGCCATACTACCAGAACGCTACCGTACGCTCAAAACGCTGGAGCAAACTATGAACGTATACTCTAGTTCGCTGCGGACGGTTGGGCGTGTCAGGCAGTATGAGTGTTCACAGTCAAAGCCGTTCTCTGCCTTCTTGTTGAAGCGCGCATGCGACAAAAAGTGGTAGAAAACGAGTAATACGAACGATATGATACAGTCATATCACTTGCTCGCTTTAACTGGTGGAGAACGGGTTTGGCACCGCGCCAAACTCATCCCGCCTGACACGCCCAACCGTCCGCAGCGAACTACACTATAGCCTCCCTCCATCTATATAATAGCAGTTGCATTGAAGTTTTCTTGTTTGAACTAAACAACGTAATGTAGTTGCTATTTTTCTGTATTTTTTATAGGAGGCTTGGCAATATGGTTTATACACTGGCGGGGTTACAATCGGAAAGCCGTACTTTTCTATGTACTTATAGCCTTCGGGTCTTCCATTGCTTTGGCTCTGCATAGTCAACCTAACTTCAGTTCGGGTTAGCTTTTCCCCTTTCACTTGGTGACTTATAGTGCTATTGAAAGACAGCAAATTCAATTCAGGAACCTACAATGTTGTTACGTCATCAGTCGTACTTCACAAGCGTCAGGTTATTGAATCCACTATAGACAACGACACTCTACTTAACGATACGTGGATCACTGAGTCTCCTTCAACAAGGCCGAAGAAGTGAATTTTTTTCAGAAATTCTCACGTCTCTTTATGATGATAGCAAAATGACTGCGTTTTCAGGCCACAGGTTGCGCAAGGCATTCTGGTGGTAGAGTCAAAAGCCGATCAGAATAAACAAATGCGCGAAGCAGCCGCATTGAATAAACTTGAACCATCTTCCAAACTTCATCGGAATCTGAAGGTAAAACAAGGACTATTTATGCAATCTCGTTCAAGAATGATGCTATCCCGAAGCCTTCTGATAATCTGTATCTCAGAGGACGATGCAATGGCTTCATTGTTTTGCTCAAAAAACAAAACTAAACGGTCCCAAAGTGATAAGATACAGATGACACATTCTCCATATTCGAAATACGACCAGCTTGCAGAAGATTATCAGTTTTCGGGGACCTAATTCAGCGCGGTCTGCTGCTGTTAGAAGTAGTGCTAATTTACAAAAGTAGTTTGCTTGAGTCGATTAAGATTGTTACCGTTTATAAGGGCGCCGTTTCGGCTTCATCGCCTTCGCTAGAGCCTGAAAGAGCCAGAGGCAGCCAGAGGCATTTGCTCCCTCAAACACCTTAACAAAACTGAAATTTCGAGATTCTGGCCAACCATCTACCTACCTTGATTTTTTCCGGGTGTCACGCAGGATCGGTCTCATCACATGTAGCAATGCTTCAAGTGAGAACTGGCCCGCCACTTCTCGACTCGGAATGAAGTTCCGCTTTTTCACTCGCTCTGTGTGACGATAGAGGCCATAACGTGCCAGTACGGACTCTAGCCTGTCGATTTGCATCACTTCCAAAGAGTGGGCGGAGCTTCCTCTAGTGGGCGGAGCCACTTGTTACAGCCTAAAAACGAAAACTCGGAGGAATAATTGAAATTCCGCAAAAAACAGAGGGGCGGGGCTTAGTGTGCTAGTGTATAAATGCACTATGGCTATTAGTATATTCGTTTTGTGAAGATTGAATGTGAAAAGAACGACGTCGAAAAAAGTTATAAAATTCAAAACTTGCGGTAACTTCATTGTGAAGTGGGCGGAGTCAGATCTGTATCGGTACCAATCCTTTTCAGTTGAAGTGTGTGTGCAACTAGCAAAAGTGAAAAAAAGTCGAAGAAGCAGATTTCATAGAACATTTTGGATGACCGGGCTGAAAAGTGGGCGGAGATGTTGGGCGGGCTTGCAGCAGTACCTAGTGTGGTATAGTTATCAACTGCCTATTGTAAGGGGTGTGTCCGATTTGATTTGAAAAGTGTCCGATTTGATTTGAAAAGTGTCCGATTTGGTTTGAAAAGTGTCCGATTTAAAGTGAAAATGGTATATATCGAAATCCGCAAAGATAGGAAGAGGGCGCGAGTTCACGGGTAATTGTCACACACTACTCTTTCCTACTCTTTCCTACTCATTTTGGGGTCTCTGGGTGGGACTTCTGGAATGTTTTTCGCGCAGTGATCTCTGGCTCCTGCGCTAGAATGGATAACAGTTAGCTCGAACTCGACATCCTTGTGATACTGAAGTCCCGATTTACGCACATGAGGCCAGTTAGGATAATCTTCAGACGTGCATTGAGCTTATACCCATTCCCTTCCTGTTTTTGTTTCTTACGTCAAACAGTGAACAGCTCCCGCTCTCCTATTAGCTTAGAACTTCATTTTCAATCTAAATGAGCAGGTATTCCAAAAATGGTCCCCGATCCCGCGCCCCATTGTTCAATGCATCGTTGCTTTTGCCATCATCTAGAAGTGTGAAGCCGTATTACGACATTCCTTGAAGTTTGCTGACTTCTTTGTGTAGTTTAGGGTTCTCACCCCTACCGATGCACGCGGAACAGGATTCATATAGGTTCCCGATCCCACAATGAAGACAAGTAAAGCATTTTATAAGGTCACCATGAATATGGTAAATGTTTGAGGACGCGCATAAATCTACTGTAGTGCTTTTTTTCCATCATTTTCTCCTGTTCGTTTGTACGTTCGTAGTCTTTTCGTATGAGCCTTACTGTGTCTGCCGTCCCTTAGTTTTCACAAAGTGATAAAGTCTCGTTCCCTGCACCGCTTTCCAGTGAATGCTTGCCTCTGGTGCATTCACATCCCTCATCAATCGTCATTTCAGCAACTCAAGCACCGCAATTTTTCGCATCCTGAAGCGTAATTTACTAGATGAGAAACCTCCATCTGTTTGCTTTTTCTCCGGTACAACTCCATAGCCAAGGAAAATCGTAAAAAAAGAGCGAGGCTATGCTATGCAGAAGCAGAGAAAAATGGTTGCTGAAATAAACGTTGCTGCGACATCGTTAGAAAGACTTCTTCATAACCAAATGCAATGGCATCACAACAAGTTTCAGGACCTTTACGACGTCCATGAGAAGCAGAATCTCAAGAGAAAAAAATGTGTCGCACCGTTTAGTTGCGCGGCACTATCACTCTT